GTGTTTCATAAGGCATCTGTTGTCGTGTAGAAAAACGGGCACTTTTACATTCTCTGAATTTTGTAACTTAAGTTTCTGCTCTCCTGCACAGACAGGCTTCATTTCACTTCCACCAGATTTACAGCGTCTTCATCTAAATGAATTAAGCATGATGAGTACATTTTAGTATTTTGATTGGCTTATGTTGGTCACAGCAGCTCCTCATGTCGGTGGTAAAGTTGTTTGAGTGCGACGGCTGCCTTGAGGTCTTTTTCTGCAGGTCCATATAATCCTCTGCTTCAAGTTTTTTATTTAAATATTCTGTACATGCCGAGTCCCAATCTGATATCATTTTCCAAGATAACCCACATTTTATGCACAATTTTTAAAATCAGTCCAATGTATGTGCTCAGCAACGGAACAGTTCTGCAGTGCACGAAGAAAAAAACTGCACTTCTGCATCCGAGCCACTTCTTAATATTCTGTATTAATCTGCAGTAAAGCCACAGTAAAGCGCTGTCAAAATGTAGTGTTAGAGGGTCGGATGTACTGTGGCTCCATGAGCTCCAGAAGACAGGAAAAAAAACCCGTATTCTCTACATGATGTCAGTAAACGTATCGTAGATCAGCTGCAGTACCTGGTTGTTCCACCAGGTGGTAGTAAAGGGGGCACCACGACAAAGACTCGTGTGAGGCTTAATGGTGTCCACATGTTTTCTGCCACCCTTGCTGACACATTTCCACTGTTTTTTATTTTTATATTTGTATTTTTAAGTGTTTGTAATAACTTTAGTTCTCGGGAGATAAAAGTTTCGGGCATTTTATGAGAAATTCAGCTAAAGAGAGACTCGGATTAACATTTTAACAAGTTTTATTTTCCTCCAATGTTTCCCTCAGATATCGCCGAAAGTTCCTTTAAAGTTGTTTTTTGCTCTGATTCCAATCTGAGTCCGTTAAAACTGCAGGAACCTTGTTGGTATCCAGTCCACGGTGACAGAGCCGCACTCGTCACCTTGGCTGTAACCTCTGCAGTTAAAACCGCTGTAGAAGAAGAATAGCAGAAGGGTTTTAAAGAAAAGCCCAGAGCAGCTTCAAGCCATTTGTTTTTCTGGCTGAAGACGTGAGAACAAAAAAAAAAAAAAGTCTTGTCTTGTAAGATTTGAGAGCTACCTGTGTGATTGATCTTCCTAATATCAGAACAGAAGCGGCGCTCCGTTATCTGGGAAACGCCTCAGACGAGCGCCGAGTCGGACTTGACAGAACGCTGCTGTTTTCTCCGACACTTCCACAACGAAGCGTGGCGAAGGGAAGTTCTTCTGAGCCGTTAAATCGCTCAAGAATATCTGTCAAGCCGGTAATCTTTATTGAGCCGTAATGGCGAGAAAAATCCTTCACCGCTGATTGCTGCTGCGCTCTCAGCAGAATTATTTCCCAGAGCGGTTGTAATTGTGACCGTAATAAGTAGCGAAGATAAGAGTGCGGCTCTTAAAGGCGCCGTTGACATGGATTTCATTACATGTAACCATGGTGATGACGGCGGTTAAGATCACTCGCGAGCTTTGAAAACTTAAAGACGTGTTCTTGGTTTTTATGAAACGCTGCTAGAAAGGTGAAACTGGGAAGAAATATGAAGTCAGTGTGGGCATTTCTCTGGGAGACAGAGCGTCTGACAGACTGTAGAATGAGTGCAGCTCAGAGCTGAATGCAAAGTGAAACTCTGTCAGCGTTTAAAACGTTTCTGCGCCGAGACTTGAAGCTTCCACGCCGAGCATTTGACTTTATTTGTTCTATTTCGTCGTGACGTCCTCGTGGTTTTCATTTACATGAATAAACAACAGCACAGTGTGTTGTTAATGCTAACGATGTTAAATTTCAGTCATAAAGTCGTGGGTTTTTTTCTTTTATGTAATGCAGAGAAATGAGAAGCTTCAGTTTTTCTGCGAATAAAAATTTTTCAGCCTCCTGATTAGCTGTTTTTTTTTTTTTCCAAAGCTGTGTCTTGAGCTGTTGCTTTATTGTCAGAACTCCTGGTGATTTATTTATTTTTTTAAAACAATAGGTTCTTGATTTCAGCCCAGATTCTGCATTTAATTTGTCTGGACTACTCTGGCGTGCCTTCAGATTGGATTATTTTTGCTTTTTTAAGTAAATTATTTCCTCTAGCTTCGATGTTTGACCCACATCAGGGTTTTTTGTTGTTGTTGTTGAGAATGGGTTTATGTGGTGTGACTACACACTAAAGTAAACATGATCAGTCCACCTACAGTAAAGGCAACCAATCTGTGTTACGACTCGAAGGGCACGCATGTCAGAAAATGTCATAGATCAGCTGTAGTACCTGGTTGTTCCACCAGGTGGAGCCTCTGACTGTTTAATACGGTAGAGCTGGCAACGGGACCACGACAGAGATTCCTGTGGAGGTTAAGGACTGACGAGGACAAGTCCATGTTGTGTGTCTGCTGACATAACTATCATTATTATTATTATTGTGCTAAATGTGTGTAATTGATTGTTGATTTGTACGGCTGCCAGTTATCGGTAAAGAACATTATTTTAAATTAGCATTGCTAGTCGGCATGTTTATGAGTTTTTGAAGTAGATTTTTTTAGAGCTTTTAATGGATCCATATTGCAATTAAAATGTAAACAGTTTGTCTTTAACGACAGTTAGGTATGTTCTCAATCAGTTATTGATTAATCATTAAAACAGCTGAACGATCGTGGACGTTCTGCTGCCCACTATTGAAGCTATTTTTAACCACTGACAGATACCTGTCTTTATAAGAGAGCCTTGGTTTCGTTTGCCACTTGGCCAAATGAACGTTGTCCTAGTTCACGCCGTCGCACCGCTAACACACGAGATCTTTTGAGAAGCTACTGACAGCCACAGAAGTTGTTGTCATGGCGCCCGTTGCTAGCTAAACTCCCACAATGCTCTCTGCTCGCCAACACAGAACTTCCTGTAGCCAGAGTGGCCGCTTCCTTGATCTGCTATCGTATTAAACACAGCAAACAAGCTGCAGCCTGTAATTTTATTAAACAGTGAGAGGCTCCACCTGGTGGTGCATCCAGATACTGCAGTTTCTGACTTGCACGTCCTCCGTCGTCTTCCATGTCAGTTAATATTATTTAATCGGTTAAATTTCATACATAAATTGATAAATGTAAAACCGTGATTCGGTTTAGCCGTGGTCCAGGTCAGGTTTCACATTTGGAATTTGTTTTGAATCAGACTTTGTGTGCTTAGCAAGAGGCGTTCAGGAACACAAAGTCAAACCATCCAACTAAACTATTTGCAAGTTTAAACCATGTCCTTGAGTCCGGACCTCAAATCAGCGCTAAAAGTCATCTGCAAAATCCTTCCAGTCTTTCTGTTCCCTCAAATCTGTGCAACAGCATGTGGGGGGAGTCGAGTGTTCGCTCCACAAAAACACGAGACCGACATCAAGGCCGACAAGTTTCAGAGATCACCGAGGTCAGTAAATAATCTGCATTTTGGAGAAACTGATCTGCACATTAAACCTAAACAGCAGGCGAATCTCATTTCCCTGCCAGCACAGAAGCCATTTTCCTGCTATTACACGGGCGTTGGATGAGCTCCAGAGTTGCCTCATTGTGCCGTCGCAGAATTCTGCTAAGTCACTCTGTGCAAGAAGTGGCAGCTAATTATAATGTGCAGCTTCTGTATGTGCGGCTGGAAACCTTCATCCCAGAAACTCGTGACGGAGGGTCTCGTAAGGACTCCGGCAGTCACGACAGAGCGGGGAAAGAAAAAGGGTTTTTTAAAGTCTGGATATAGTTGATTAGCTGCCACTCAATATTAGGAAGTTGGTAACTGCAGACAGCGGATGGAATAATGAACGGTGTGACATTTGGAGAAAATGTCTCCTCTTCTAAAATGTCCTTCGGATTCTTGGCGCCATTATGCAGCATTATCCACATTCAAATAATCAGATGTCTGCTCACTTCGGTAATATTAAAATGACTTTAATAATCTTATATTTCCAAAACCGTCTTTCTGCCTCTTGCACAAAATCTCATATATTCATTTCTGTACAAGTATTCAGCGCCGCCGCCGCCGCCGCAGATCTAAATCTCATTAAAAAATAATGAAACTGAAGTTATCCGAGGTAGAACTACATATTTCAATGTGCACACGAGCTCTTCCGTCGCAAACCAGCCGGGCCTTCTGCTCTCTGGTTGGCCTGAAACGTTCTCATCATACGCTGCTGTAGTCAAAATGGTGTCTGTTCACATTTTAAATGGATTTATTTAGTACTTTCTAAGATAGGTTTTGGAAAAAATTGCTCATTTTTAGTATTTTTTTTCCCGCTTATTGAAATATGAGGCTGTTGTTTGAACAACAATATCCAAGGAACTATTAACGATGAAAACTTGTTATCATGCCATTGATTCAGAATCTGTCATATCGGAGAAGTAGGTCCAGTTATATCTGGAGAACCTGAACTTCCCAATTTTTGTTTGTTTTTGTGGTACAACTTTAGTAGCAAAAGTTTTTCTTTCAGTTTTGTGACCAGAAATTTGACATTTAAAGTGTTGTGTACGTTTGGTTCTGTGTTGCTGTGACCTGCAGCTACATCACAAAACATCACGAGTTGACTTCAAATGTTTTTGTTGATTTGAGCTCAAAAATGGGACTTTTAATGTCAGCTCAGCCATAATCAGCGGTTCTTTGATCTACTCGTCCCATATTACAGATTCTGAACCAACGACATGATGAGAAATATCAGTGACAATATCTGGTTTTTATCTTTAATAGGTCCTCAGATGTTGTTGTTCTAAAAACCTGTTAAAAGTGGGTCGTCGGGCAGATTTAACAAAACAAAACATTATCTCAGAAAGTATTTGATGCATCAAACTATAATTTCACAGTTACCTTTATAATTATCTGTATTTTATGCTGTAAAAGTTTCCGGCCAATCAGAGACATTCTGAAGGAGTTTCTACACATTTCTTTCTTTGGTGTCTAATGAATCCTCTCCTTTTGTTTTTTACCTCCAGGTGGACCCCATGTTCACGGTCCCAGCTCCCCCAGCTCCAGGCCACCCCGGGGCCCCTGGATCCTCCTTGCCCTCGGCCCCGTCCTTCTCCCCTCCGGCCCTGCCCACCTCCAACCCCAAGCAGCTGGCGGTGAGGACCAGGTCCATCGGCACCAACACCCAGGACGGGGGCGTCTCGGGGGCGCTGGAGGGCGACTCGGCCTGCCTGGGGCCCTGCCAGCCGGGGACCAGCGTCAACCTGGAGGGCATCGTCTGGCACGAGACGGAGGAAGGTAGGCCCAAACCCTGCACCGCCAACCGGTCAACGCATCTCACAGGCAGCGTTTGGAGACGTACGACGTCGTTACGTCTGTAAAGCCCTGCTGCTGGGAGAGTTTCTGCTCCGCGGTGTCGGGCAGATGTTTCAAAATGTCAACACATGAATTTAGATCGACCAACAGAGAAATATGCACGATTTGATCCACCAGTAGAGCAAACATCTCTCGTTTCAAAGGTTCAGTCAGTGTGATGCAAGTGTTTTGCATCTATGTTTTTAACGGTGTAAACTTTTCTTCAGGGACGTCTCTAGTTTGGTTTCTTTAGCCCTCAATCTGTGCCGAGGTATTTAATATTTAGTATTTGCTGCTACCGGCTCCCAATTTGATCCCATTTTTCTTCATGAAACGCTTTTCGAGTACATTAAAGTTCCTGAAATCAGTCCAATGTGCGCTTTGACAGCTGAACAAACTACATCCGAGCTGTTCCTCAGTGTTCTGCAGGTGGAACCTCGTTGGAAAGCTAGAACACTGTCTGTGATGTACAGTTGGAGGGTTAAATGGGGACTGCAGCCACAACTTTTTGTTTAGTTTACCGTGACTGCGCTAGCCTGCCTTCAGATTGGACTTCATGCTTTTTTAAGTAAACTACTTGCTCTAGCTTCAATATTTTGACCCACACCAGGATTGTTTTGTTGTTGAGAATCGGCTTGTCAGGTGTGACTACATGCAAAAGTCAGCATGATCAGTCCACGTACGGTAAAGCCAACCAATCGGTGTTTCCAGACGGAGGGCATGTTTGTCAGTAAACGTATCGTAGATCGGCTGTAGTACCTGGTTGTTCCACCAGGTGGAGCCTGTAGAGACCAGAGGGGGCGTCACTC